CAATATCGATGTGGCTGTGCTAAAATAACTCAAGGAATCTATTTTACTTTTAAAGAGTTGCTTCTAGCTCTTTTTTATTTTATTTTTTTCATTTCTGTATTTTTGATAAATTGTTTTGGAAAACATTGAGAGCATAAGAGCCTTATACACATAGGAGGGTCTCTTGGGTGCTGCCCTCTCCCTTAAGTGGCCAGAAGGCCTCATTCGTGGTTGCCATCTTCTGTGTTCACCAGCTGTCTTGTTGACTAGATTTTTATTGATGACTGTGGACAGTCCCATTGTGTACCCTGACACCATTCTTTGCCCTTTTAGCCTTCTCTGACTGGAAATATCTATAGGACTGCCACTTTTCCTTATTAAATGTTAAATGCTGGCACAGAAACCTGAAGGTGCTTACAGAGAGTATGGATATCATTTAAAGCATAGAGTTATGTGAGTCAGAAAAAAAAAAAGCATGATAAATTAATACATGCAAATTGGAAAACTGGAAAGCAGTTATTCAGCAGCATTTAATATCCATCACCCTTAGCCTGTGATCACTTTCATTCCCGTTTTCTTTAGCAGCATCTGTCAGGCTGTTTGGGATGTATAGGACACAGTCAGACCAGACTTTATAGCCAGAGACTATGAATGATCTTACAGATAGCTCCAAGATAGAATAGGGCCAGGAATGGAGAGAAACCGAAATGTACAAATATTTCACAGTTTGCACTGGTAAATGAAGTCTGGACTAAATCAGTATTGGAAATTGAAAGAGATTTCTTCCTTAATCCAGTTAACTTATTGTTTAAGAATTATTTTATTTAACTTTATTTATTTATTTATTTTAACTTTACCAGTGAGAGATAGAACAAGGGAGAGAGTGAAAATGAGAAAGCAAGCTGCCAGGCCCAGTACTCAAACCACAGTTGGCCATTTGGGAGTTCAGTGCTCCTAACCACTACAACACCTGCCGGCTCCTCCAACGAATATTTGTATTGCTATATAAAAGCAATTGAGCATAGTGGCATTTGCATGTACATCTCCTTTGTTCTTTCTCTAAACTTCTTCCTCAAAAACCAGTAACTCTTAAATCGTCTGAGCCCTTGCTTACATCTTCAGAAAATGTTCATGGGAATGGTTATGGCCTGTGTCCTGCACTGGAAGCTCACCTTCTTTGTTCCAAGAAATATTTGTTTTTGTGTGCAACATGCATTCAAAGGGAATTTGAATAGAGGTTATGGAAGAGACTGATAGGGTTACTTGCCAGCATAAGCAAGAAATCCAAGTTTCTATTTGTGATCCATGATGAAAGACAGGTTATAGTTTATTCCTCTGACCTTTGTAATAGGACAGTCCCAGTTACAAACAAATACATGTATTAAAAGCACACAGTTTGGCGTATTATGAGCAATGGCAGCTCAACCTAGCATCGCCCAGGAGTTACTCAGTACAATTGAAGATATTGTAGTGATTCTCTGTTCATTTTACTGCATTCATTCTCCATTTTCTTTTTCCTTTTCCTCTTGCCATTTTCTGACTTCAGCCATCAAATTGAAAACTCATCTACAGTAACTGTAGTGATTATAAAATAAAATGTGGATTATTCCACATCATTTTTCCAGTCAGGGCTTCCGTCACTTATGTTGTAATCTTACATACTCTTTAATATTTTTAAGAGCATTTTAAAATAATGCATATAAGTGGACTGCTTAGAAAACGAACTGTTAACATAGGAAGTGAGGAAATTTCTTGCTTTAACCAACCTTCAATGAACTGATGATACACCATTTTTTTTCTTAGAAAATGGTGTACAGAGATTTGCCATGGCAGGAAATATGTGTGTGCCTATGCTGTGCAGAAATGCTAAGGCTTGGGATACAGTGTGCTGTTCTCACATTCGTTATATAGTATCAGCATTAGAACTTAAAGGTTGAACGAATTGCACTTCAGTAAATTATTTTTTCCCTCTACAGTAAGCTGATAAATAAGCAAAAGTAATTTGAAACTCAGCCTTGAGACTCGATTTAATGAATCTTCTATATTTATTCTTCCTTATTGTTTCAAAAAGAATTATTTATCTAATTTTATTTATTATTATTTTTTAATTTGACTAGAAAGAGAGAGGGAAAGTGAGAAAGCAAGCTGCCAGGTTTGGGACTCCAACCATGGTCAGCCATGTGGGAGTCAAGTGCCTTAGCTATCATGCCACCTGCTAGCCCCTCTTTCAAATATTTTTTGAGAAGTTTTTGCTTTAGGACATATGCACTCACCAGTGAGGGAGAGAGACAGAGACAGTAAGAGGGAAGGTGAGAAATCACCCCCGCAGGGGAGATGGCCACACTGCCTCCTCCATTCTCCCTGGATCTTGGGCATGCACACATATGTGCCCCACATGATTTTCAAGCCTCTGGGGCCCGGACTTTAACCACTGTCAACCATGTGGGAGTCCAGCAATGCAACTGCTGTGCCTTCTGCTGGCCCCTCTTCCTTATTTTTTTAAAAAAGCATAAAAATTTTCATTTTTAAGTCATTCATTTGTTTTTTTTAGTCTTTCATTTGGTCATCTTTGTAAATTGCTCTGGAAGGCAAACTGTTATGCATATCCTTTTTAATAAAAATAAGATTTATTGGGACCAGCAGTTAGCGTAATGGCTATGTCGCTGGACTCCCATGTAGTCGACCGCGGTTCGTGTACCGGACCCGGTGGCTTAAAACTCACGCCGGGCACATGTGCGTGCCTGCCCAAGATCCCGAGAGGAGAATGGAGGAGAAGGGATTGCGGTGTGACCATTCCCCCTGGGGGTGATTTCTCACTTTCTGTCTCTATGTCTCTCTCTGTCTGTCTGGCGAGCGCATGCGCCCTATAACGAAAACCTTTCCAAAAAAAAAGAATAGTATTCTGAGAGCTGTTCCTAATAAAGTTGCCCCAAAACGCTTTCTGGTAGAATCTAATAATAAAATACCTGTATTGTGAGACAGTCTTCTGAATGTACCTATTGAAGACTATTCTTGTGTTCAACTGCTTCTGCCTCCTGATTCGGTTTCTTCTCAGTTGAGTCTGGGTACTTTCTGACTCTTTTCAATCATGTGGAAAAAAACATGGGAAAGAAAATGCTATACAGCAAGAGACTAAGAAGGTGTTTTGTTTAAAGGCTTGTTTAATTTGTTTTAACTATAATTTTTCATTGAATCTTTTCCTCTTTCTGTTTAGTAAGCCACATTTAACAGTACCATTTGCACTCAGAATTTTTAAATAGACCATTATTCTGTGAAAGATGGTTGCTTTTTGTACATCTAGCATTTTCCATTTTTATTATTAATATAGTTCTTTTCCTAAACAGGGCTTAAAGACAGGTTGGACATGTTGTATTAGAAAAGCTAAGAACTGTCAGGAGTCCCTTGCCTCTCATAAGTGCTGCAGTATTACTGTAAAAGAAAATGAAATGACCCAGAACTGGTTTACCTGTTGACTTAGTTTTAAAAATCTGGGCCATGAAACTTCTGACCATTTTCCTTGTAAATCGTGTATGTGGTTGTCAGAGGGAAAGTTGTATGTTTGGCTTTCTTGCCTCCTATTTGGTGAAACTAACTGCCTATCAGTCATACTGAAAAGACATCACTGCTCTTAAGAGGGCTTCTTCAGATTGGCCTTATTCAGCCTCAGCTAGTTTTCCTTTTTGAAAATGAGCAAGAAACTTTTCCCCTAGTAACATCACTAAAATAATGAGTTGACTTTTCATTTTTATTTTGAAATAGTTCGGTTTTAAGCCCTGAAGCAGCAACTAAATGTCAGATTGAGGCTGGTGGCATTATGCTGAAGAAATATTAGCTATGATGTATTACTCACCAGCCACCAAGTCAGCCTTTTATACACCTTATCACAGTCGATCATAACACAGCCCTTCCGAGTACATGGTCTTCTCCTTATTTCACAGATAAGCACTCTGAGGTCCAGAAGTGTTCAATTATTTGCCTGGTGTCACACAATGGTAGGTAGCAAGGGCTGCACTCTGGGCTGTCAAAGTAAAAATCCCACATTCTTTCTGCTGGTCTGTGCTACCTGTTAAATTATTTAAACACATAGTAAGAGTGTTTTGTAAAAATGAGTCTTCTACCCCAGAATGTCTTCTTTCCTTCCTTCTCTCCCTCCCTTCTCTCTCTCTCTTTCTTCTTTTTTGATGGAGGATGGATGCATAGTTGAAGGAGAAAGAGGAACCTAACAGGACCCAGGCCTTGGATTCTGTTTTTTTAAGGGCTCAAATACATTAGTTTTGTTGTTGTTTTTTGTTTGTTTGTTTGTTTTTAATACTACATCACAGCAATATGACCTCCAAATTGACCAAAATAACTAGGTAAGTAATTTCTTGATTAAGCTGTCATATTTAACCTTGGCTGAGACAAAAGAATCCTAATAACTGATTCAAAGGTGACATTGCTTTCACTTCTGTTTTGAGAAACTGTCAGCATGGTTAGTTTGTTATACACAAAGTCAGGATGGAAGGAGACATGTTTTAGGCAGGGAATATGTAAGTACACTTTCAAGTATGTAAGGAAACAATTTATTAAGTGACCCTAATCCTATTCCAGTGTATGCATTGGCAGATGAATATCCTATCTCTTGAAGTAATCTTTACATCCAAAGAAAACAGTTCTTTGTAACTAAATATAAATGCCAACTGGGAACTAATGTGGGTTTTTGAAGATCAGACTTTACAGTCCAACTCTTTAATTTTAGTACAAGCTCTAAATTTAGTTAATGCCTATATAACATAAAACTAATCAAATATGCCAGACACTTTGCTTCTGCAGAGTTTAGGGCCTTTTGCCTAAATCGTGAGCTTCCCTCTAATTGTGGGGTCTTATTTCCCTTTCAGATATAGAGGACTTAAAATATGCTACTTTTGGAAGCTACAGTAGCAATTTTGCAGTGAGCACACTTACAAGCTCTGACTGGTCAGACAGGGATGATGCAGCTCAGGGCAGAAAACTCTCTCCATTTGTCCTCTCAGAAAACGGAGCCTCCTCAGCTGCCTCAGTTCTTCAAAAGAAAGAGACTTCATTTGGCAGTTTGGAAAACATCACCATGACTTCTTTCTCCAAAGTAACCACCTTTGCCAGTGAAGATCCTCTCCCAGAGACCGCCTTCCCAGCTTTTGCCAGTTTTAAAGATGCAGTTCCTCAGACCAGTGAGCAAAAAGAATATGAAAGTGGGGACTATAAAGATTTCACAAGGGACCTGCCAACAGCTGAGCGAAGCCAGGAGGCCACGTGTCCAAGCCCAGCTTCCAGTAGTGCCTCTCACGAGACCCCCAATGAATGTTCAGATGACTTTGGAGAGTTTCAAAGTGAAAAGCCCAAAATCAGCAAATTTGACTTTTTAGTGGCCACTTCACAAAGCAAAATGAAATCAAGCGAAGAAATGATCAAAAGCGAGCTGGCAACCTTTGACCTTTCTGTTCAGGGTGAGTAGCCTTCTTAGGAGATTGTTACTGTTGTGTTGTTTTCTACTAGGTGTTGGTTGTTCTTGCACCTCCCAATTGGACGTGGTCATGCCACAATTTCTTCTCCTTCATTTCTCCACCCTGTCAAGATTTGGAGCATGCACGTGTGCACAGCATGATTTTGAAGTTACCAGAGCCTGATTTTGAAGTTGTCATGGCAGTCGGCCATGCAGGATCTGGGTGCCTTAACCACCAAGCCAGGGGGTCAGCCCTAAGATGGTCTTTCTGTAGAATAAGATACTGGGACTTAGTCTTTTAGGAAGTAAATTTTTCAACTTTTGACATCAGGATCAATTACAGATAGCTATAATGAGACTAAGCTGAAGTCAGATCAGTATGCCTCAGATAACTTTGTGTGTGTGATAAAAGCGAACATAGCAGGCAGTTATATTGTTCATTGGCTTGTTTAGTCAGAGATGTGTGATATTGAAAGAGCCAGAGAAATGGAAGTGATCCACGTCTGGGCATGTTAGCTCCGCTCTTTGTTTCCTGACTGTGGATCTATGTAGTCTGGAGATCTACTTTGGCTGGCCCACATAGTTTTTTTTTTTAAACTGTGAACTAATTGTTAGTAATTAAAACTCATGTGATTTATCGATCTGGATCTCTAGCTTTCCGTGAAAAGTCGCACTGTCTGGCAGCCCTAGTTCTGGATTCTGGTCTTAGCAAAGCCGGAGCTGAATCTCACTGCCCCTGTAGATGGCGCATGGGCTCCCAATTTGCCACAGTCTCACCGCTCAGCTCCAGCTCACCTACTTCAGCCTTTACTCCACTCCCCTGGTCTCTGAAGGCATCTAAGGTTTGCCTCTTCTGCTTTAATACCTTCTTGACAGAAGGATCATTGATTTCCGTTGGGTTGAGAGAATTTGTAGGAGCTTAGCTGCAAATCTATAGCTAATGACTAGAAAAGCTTTTCTTTCTTTCTTCTTTTTTTTTTTTTTTTTTAATTTTGCCAGAGAGTATGTGTGCTGCTAGAGGAACGCAGAGAGACAGAGAGAGGGAAAGTGAGAAAACGCCCCTGTGCTGGGTGGTCATGCCACAAACCTGTCTCCATTTCTCTTCCTTTTGGGGTTTTGGCCACTCATGCATGCATGGTGTTGTTTTTTCAAGCTTCTGGATCTGGGACTTGAACCACACAGCCAGCCATGTGGGATCCAGCCACCTTAACTACCACACCATGGGCTGGCCTGCAGCACAACTCTTATACACTTTTGTGCCTAAAGGCAGGGAAACCAAACAAGAGAGATCAGTTGAGAGGGCTCCACAGTAGCTCCCCAGGCAGAATGAACAAGGATTGTGTTTCTGAAAGCTTCATGACAGACTTCTGAAGAAGAGGACTTTGTTAGCAAGGAAAAACCTCTGCCCGAACTTAGCCAAGTGAGCCATACATACCTCTGACTGTACCATCCACTTCTCCCAGGATCACACAAGAGGAGTTTGAGCCTTGGTGATAAAGAAATAAGCCGTTCCTCTCCTTCTCCGGCCTTGGAGCAGCCTTTCAGGGATCGTTCCAACACTCTGAGTGAAAAGCCCGCTCTCCCCGTCATCCGGGATAAGTACAAAGATCTGACAGGAGAGGTGGAGGTGAGCACCTAGTTTTCCTTGGGCAGAAGGTAAGAGACAGCTGAGCACTGAGGGCGCCCAGAAGAAATGCTCTCAGCCGCCACATGGGGGGAACGAAGGGCAGAAAGACGTAAGGCACCAGACATAAAAGTTAGAATTCAAGGGAGAGAGCGGTGACATTCGCCCTCGGTGAAAATCCTTCCCGACGCGGCGTCCGCTGAAAGTAGAGACCTGGAATTAAAGTTATTCATGGGACTTTGAAAGGAGGGCAGTGTTTGCAGAATTCTTTTTGAGCACTTAGACATTATCTTAGAAAGTGTTAAAATCCTCAAAATAGAAGATAGAGGCAACATGTTCTTCTGGATCTTCTATTTCTGCTTGCTATATCTTAGTCCCTTGCTATCTTCTTCCTGTAGCCCACGCATTTGACTCTCCTCCTCTTCTGCCCATTCCCCCATGGGCACACGTGCTTGTGTGGACACACACACGGACACACAAACGTAACTGGAGTGGAAAGCCAGTGTCTGATATTGGCTCTTCTTTTTTTTTCTAACCCTAACCTCTAACTCCTAACTCCTAGCCCTAACCTAACCCTAACCCCTAACCCCTAGCCCTAGCCCTAACCCTAACCATTGATATTGGTTCTTGTACTACATATCTACACATGAGTCCTTTGAAGAATGGTTTATGTTATTGGAACAGTTGAGACAACATTTAGAGAGGGAAGCCGCTACAGAACATTTCCCTCAGATTCACGGGTCCTGTACTCAGGCGTTAGCATCTATTAGTAGTTTAAAATAATTGTTAGTGGGTTCAGAATAAACTATGTGTGAACTGAAGTGTTGAATAAGAGGAAAAGTCTCCCAAGCTATATGAACTGACAGGAATCATAGAGGATTCCAGGTCTGTCTATTTAACTTAGTTCTTTCTCAAAAATCCACAGGAGAATGAGAGATACGCATACGAATGGCAGAGGTGCCTGAGGAGTGCCCTGGAAGTGAGTATGTTACTCTCGGGTGTGTTCACACACATGTAAAGTGTCCCCTGCGCCATCTGTCTTCTCCTTGGTTCATTTGAGTTGGCAGAGGCAAACTTGAGCGCCTCGCTTTAATAGGTGATGCAGAAGGAAGCTCAGTGGAAAGTCAGACGTCTTCAGTGAGGTTCCTCTGACACTTGTAAGAGCGAAACACTGGCCCATCTGCCATGTGTCCCCTCATCTGTCAGTGTTTAAGAAATAACAGTGTGTCATTAACTCCGCCTCAGTTAAAATAATATTTAAAGAAACTACCTTTTCCAAAGAAATGGAGGATTGTTTCCTCAAGGTTAAAATTAAATTCTCAGATTTGTTTCAGCACAGTCATAGGCATATATCCGTCCGCCATGCTTTTTTACATGCTTTTTAGTTGGGTTTTCTACCAATCGTACATTGACTTGCAGTGACTTTTCTTGGTTGTATAATATGGGATTTCGTTTCTTGTAGGTGATTAAGAAGGCAAATGATACCTTAAATGGAATCAGTAGTAGTTCTGTTTGCACAGAAGTAATTCAGTCAGCTCAAGGCATGGAATATTTATTAGGTATGTTTTTTATATTTTACTTACTCAAAATCATGGCACTTTACATAATAGTCACTTTTCCCTGATGTTAAGTATTTGAAGCTATTAGTAGATCTCTCACGCTGCTTGTGACTTCCCTAAGTAGTAGCTGCATTTGTAGATAAGATACTTAACTCATGGGCAATAACAACTATTTGACTTAAGATCTCAATGGCTACGTTTCCCAGGCCTTGTTAGGTACATAACAGCAGCAATGTAAAGTATCTTTTACTGGATAATCAAGAGTCTGAACTAGAGAAGCATTAAAATGACATCATTTTTTTCTTTAATCAGTGCCTTACCATGCTCAGTAGATTTTTTTTCTCTGTACCCCTCCATGGCATCACAAATGGATTCCTTAACTTCCTCGCCATTTTCAGCTGTGAAACATTCCAGTGTAACCAACTTGAAACCTCAGTCTGTGCAGTGCAGTGTTCTTCCCACCAAGCTCAAGCTTGGTGTGCACTGAATCTCAATCTTTTTCAGATCTTTACTCAAATGTCAACTTCTAAACGAAGTCTTTCCTGGCCCCCTTTCTCAGAATGGCCTCTCTACTCCCTACCCTGGTCTCTCTTCTTGATTTTCTTCTTAGTCCTCTCACCTTTCGTATCTGTTTTTTTTCTTTTTTTGGTTTGGTTTTTGCCATAAGGTGCGTGTGCTCCCAGAGAGAGACAAAGAGAAAGTGAGAAATCACCACCCCTGGGAATGACTATACCACAGTCCCTTGCCTTCCTCCTCCCATGGGATTTTGGGCATGTGCACACACATACCCAGCATAATTTTCAAGCTTCTGCCAGATCTGTGGCTCAGTTTGTGATCGGCCACGTGGGAGTCCCGTGACTTAACTGCTACGCCACCTGCTGGCCCCCCACCTTTAGTATCTTTTACGGCCTGTCTCCCTCCACTATAAGGAATCTCCAGAGGGCAGAGATTTTGGTCTGTTTTGTTTACTGGTGTGTCTCCAATTCCTAAGGTAGTACCTGACACGTAGTAGGCACTCAAAAAAAAAAAAAAAAAGTGCTTAGTGAGCAGATAGTACACGGATGTAGTTTCTGGTTTACTCTGCCACCTCATTGTCCTTACTCTGCTCAGACAGGCGTGGTTTCGCTGCGTAGGTAGATGTCCACTGGGAAGTGGGTAGCCTGTCTCTCCTTCTAGCAGGTTTTCTAATCTCTGTGACGGTTCTTTAGAACCCCCCTCATTTGACTTAGGGTGGGCACTAACTCCTGCCCTTCCCTTGGAGAAGGCAGAAGAAAATCCATAGTGCTATGTCAGAAATGGCAGTGTATATACCACTCTGAAGATCCCTGGAATTCCGCCCCTGTTCACTTAGAGGCTCGGGTAATGTGTCTGGTGACCGTCATGTTACAGGGATTGAGGAAGTGACTTGTGATTGTCTTTAGAATGTGGAGGTCCTTGACACCTCCCATTCCTGGTTGAAGAGTTTAGCCACAATTCAAAGACCACAGTAAAAGAGCCATTCTATCAAAAGATCCTGTTAAGTGTATTGATGGTCTGTGAATCCAGTTTGTAAATCCTTGGGGGTTCAGAGAGGTGAGATACTTCTTAATTATTTTGTGATAATATTAACATTTAGATTCTTTAAAACTTTTACTATTCACATTTCAGCCAATCTAATGAGATTTCCCAGATTCAGACTCATAAGGGAACCTTTCAAGAAGAAAAAAGCTAATATTTACATAATTCCTACTCTTCTCCAGACACTGGTCTAAGCCTTTTTATGATGTTATTCAATACTCTCAACCATCCTTTGAGGAGAATCTATTATTATCTCAGCTTTATAGATAAGGGAACTGAGGAACAGAACAGTTACGTGACTTACATAGCTAATAGGAGATAGACCTGAGGGGCCAGCAGGTGGTGTGGTGGTTATGGGCACTGGACTCCCACATGGCCAACTGCAGTTCAAGTCCTAGACCTGGCAGTTTGCTTTCTTACTTTCTCTCTCTCTTTCTTTTGGTCAAATTACAATAAATAAATAAATAAAGCTAAATAAAATAATTCTTTTGAACCCAGACAGTGTAACTCTAGAGTCTTTGCTGTTACCAGTAAGCTGTATAGCAGAATCGAGAGAGGAATTGGTTCCAGGAAATAGTAACTTTACCTCTGTCCAGATGTGTTCTTTAATTCCAACTAAGATAACATCAAATAGTAATGCTGCTTTGTCTCATTCGTCTTTCTCTCTGCACTTCCAACACCTAACTCTTTTCTCTTACCGTGGCAGGTGTTGTTGAAGTGTACAGGGTAACCAAGCGTGTGGAGCTGGGGATCAAAGCCACTGCTGTATGCAGTGAGAAACTCCAGCAGTTGCTGAAGGACATCGATAAAGTATGGAATAACCTAATTGGCTTCATGTCACTCGCCACACTCACAGTAAGCCCATTAGACAATTCCGCAGTTGCTTTCCTTTCTAGAAACCCAGGTGTAAAGCAGGGTGTGTGTTACTGTGATGGCACGTCTTAGAGGATGAAGGTGTCTCCTAGATCACGTTATGTTAAAGGAGGAGAAAGCATGTACACAGTTACAGTAATAGTACCAAGCTGGCTTGTGGTTGCTTTAAGGCCCTTTATACCTAAAACGAGCAAAAACCCATTCACTCTGCCTACATTTTTCATGATTTACATACATACATGAAAGGTTTGCAGAGCATTCGTTTAAGTTCCTTCCTTTACACTTCTGTTTATGTCCCATATGTGGTTTTTTTTGTTGTTTTTGTTTTTTGCCATAGGGTACATGCACTCACTGGAGACAGAGACAGAAAGTGACAAATCACCCCCAGGGGGCATAGCCACGCCATAATCCCTTCTCCTCCATTCTCCTCTCAGGATTTTGGCCACACACGCATGTACATGCACTTGGCATGATTTTCAAACTGCCAAGTCTGGGACTAGAACTGCACTTGGCCATGTAGGAGTTCACTGCTTTAACCATGTGGCCTGCTGTTCCTGTACGTGTTCTTTTTTTTTTTTTTTTTTTTTAAGGGGTTTTTGCTATAGGGCATGTGTCAGAAAGACAGAGAGAGAGAGATAGAAAGCGAGAAACCACCCCCTGGGGGCGATGGCCATGCCGCAATCCCTTCTCCTCCATTCTCTTCTCAGGATCTTGGGCGCGCACAGACATGCGCCTGGCATGAGTTTAAGCTTCTGGGTCCAGGACTCAAACTGCGGTGAACTACATGGGAGTCCAGTAACATAGCCATTGTGCTAACTGCTGGTCCCCCTGTGTGTTAAAAAGCTATGTAATATATCATGTTGCTGTCCTACAGTTTGTCTAGGCTTTTCTTGTGTTTTTTAAAACTTTCTTTAGGTTCTTGTATTATTTAGGTTTTTTCTGTTAGGAATAGTTGTGCCCTGAATAAATATTATTTCCCCTGTGTGAGGTATAGTTCCTCAAAATGGATTTCAGAAACCAAGAATATATGTTTGCCATATACCAGGATCTTCAAAAAGTTCATGGAAAATGCCTGTTATGACATAACTATGCATAGATTTCTTTGCGGGGAGAGGATACCAAAATAAACTTGTACTTTAATTCCACATTTTCACAAACTTTTTGAAGTCCCCTCGAACAGGCGCCATGCATACGTAACTGTTGTCACATTTATGAGATGGCTTTCCAGGTAGCTTGAACCAGTAGGCGGTACTGCCAGCAGTATGTCGTACACATTCTCACAGTTGTGTTCCAGCTTTCTTGCTCAGTTGCTCAACTTAACAAATGTACACTTGGGACTGGCAGATGGCATGGTGGTTAAGAGTGCTGGACTCCCACGTGGCCGACCAAGGTGCAAGTCCTGGACCTGGCGGCTTGCTTTTTCATTCTCTCTCTCTCCCCCCCCCACCCCCCACTCTGTCCGTCTCTGGTCAAATTAGAATAAATAAATAATTAAATGAAGTTAAATAAAATAATTCTTAAGAAAAAAATACACAAAAAACAAATGTGCACTGATTCCCCAGTGTGTTTTTTACATTTCTTCCATTTCATTTCATTTCATTAGAATCTTTACAGTATTCCACATGGTAATTTGTTGCCTCTGTTTCTTCTGTGTATAAACTGAGCTTCTCTTTCGCCCATTTGACCACATACTCAACGGACTATGGTTATTGACCTTACATATTTCGTAGTTATAATGGGTTTATATCCGTACATAGAGGCTAGTAAACTTGTATCAGTGTTTTCCTCCTCTATCGCTGCACCATTTCTTATACTTCATTTGGCAAAGCGATTTCATTTTTATATGTTCATACCAATTCAGTTTGTCTCTGATGATATCCTTTATTTCACAGTAGTCGGAAATTTATCTTCCTTCCACAGCTGGAATAAATATTCCTTTTTTAAATATTTAACTGTGTGACCCATCTGAACAGGATTGCAACTGGGTGGTAGGAAGCAATTTTTATTGCTCTGAACTGATAGCCAGATAGATACCCAGCTTTCCCAATAGCATGTAGTAAGCTGCTGATCTCCTCACCATTGTTATGTTGTTTCTGCTTTATACAGTAGTATTACATTCTTTTTTTTTTTTGGAGAGATTTTTTCACTATAGGGCCCATGCACTCCCCCGAGAGAGACATAGAGACAGAAAGCAAGAAATCACCCCCAGGGGGGATGGTCACGCTGCAATCCCTTCTCCTCCATCCTCCTCTTGGGATCTTGGGCACACATGCACACGCGCCCAGCGTGAGTTTTAAGCCACCCGGGTCCGGGACGTGAACACGGTCAACTACGTGGGAATCCAGCGACATAGCCATTGCGCTAACTGCTGGTTCCCAGAGATAGGTATTCTTGACAGGGTCTGGCTGAATCAGGATCCTGCTGCCCCAGCCTCCCAACTAGCTAGGATACAGGCAAATGCAGCTGTATTCGGTATGTTCAAGTTGGCCTGGAAACCAAACCAGGGCCTTCCTTGTGGCATCCATACTCCCAGACAGTGGTGACTTGATCTGTACTTCCAATTGGTTTTTTTTTTGAGAGATTTTTACTGTAGGGCGTGTGCGCTCGCCAGACAGAGAGAGACATAGAGACAGAAAGCGAGAAATCACCCCCAGGGGGGATGGTCACGCCGCAATCCCTTCTCCTCCATTCTCCTCTCGGGATCTTGGGCACGCACGCACACGCGCCCGGCGTGAGTTTTAAGCCACCAGGTCCGAGACACGAACCGCGGTCGACTACGTGGGAGTCCAGCGACATAGCCATTACGCTAACTGCTGGTTCCCTGTACTTCCAATTTTAATAAATGGCTTAATTTTTTTAAATAAATGGATAAGGAAAATGGAGAAAAAAGAAAATGAAAGTAGGGAAGATAACATAAAGCCAAGAATAAAGTTAAGGATATAAAAATGTATGCTTTAGAAGCCAGCAGGTGGCATGGTGGTTAAGGCACTGGAGTCCCATGTGACCATCCACGGTTTGAGTCCCAGACTCTGTAGCTTGAAATTCACACCAAGTGTATGTGCATGTGTGCCCAAAATGCCAAGAGGAGAATGGAGGAGAAGGGATTGTGGAGTGACCATCCCCCCAGGGGGTGACTTCTTGCTTTCCGTCTCTCTGTCTCTCCAGTGAGCACACACATCCTATAGGAAAAATCTTTTTTGAAAAAAATGCTTTAGGGGCCAACAGGTGGCATGATGGTTAAGGGCACTGGACTCCCACATGACTGACCACAGTTTAAGCCCCAGACCTGGTGGCTTGCTTTCTCACTTTCCCTCACTGTCTCTCTCTCACCTGGTCCCTCTCTGGTCAATTGAAAGAAAGAAAGGAAGAAAGGAAGGAAGGAAGGAAGGAAGAGAGAGAGAGAGAGAGAGAGAGAGAGAGAGAGAGAGAGAAAGGGAGGGAGGGAGGAGGAGAGAGAGAAAGAGAGAGAGAGAGGAAGGAAGGAAGGAAGGAAGAGGGAGGGAGGGAGGGAGGGGGAGGAAGAAAGGTTAAATAAACAGTACAATCTTTTAAAAAAAAACTTTAAAAATAAATGCTTTAAAGTGCTTGCATTTATTAGTGGTGGACTTTACAGTTGACTTTATGCCTTCTAGAAACGGATGTATAGAAGACTTGATCAGTTCCATGTTCATAACATAAAGATAAAATCAGTACTCGGGGGACCAGCAGGTGGCATGATGGTTAAGATGCTGGACTCCCATATGATCAACTGCAGTTGGAGTCCCAGACCTGGCGGCTCTCTTTCTCTTTTTCTCTCAAATTAAAAAATAATAATGGGACCAGCAGATGACGTGATGGTTAAGACCCTAGACTCCCACATGACTAACCACTGTTCAAGTCGCAGACCTGGCGGCTTGCTATCTCACTTTCCTCTTTTCTCTTTCTCTCTCTCTGGTCAGATTACAAAATAATAATAACAGATGAAATGAAATTAATGAATATTTTTAAAATAATAATAAAATTAAATAAACAATTGAATAAAAAATAAGTATTCTTGGCACTAGTATCAAAAAGAAATTCATTTTGTAAGTTCTCAGAAAGAGAAAACTAGTGTAACCAACATCATCTTTAAGAAGTATTGGACTAGCCATGGGGTGGTGGTTACGTGAACTGCATCCCACATGGGCAACACTATGGTTGAAGTCCTGGTAGCTTAAAAAAACGTAGCGAATGAGTGTGCGTGTGTGCACGTACCCCACATTACAAAGGGATGGAGAAGCGATTGCAGGGTGGCCGTACCCCATGAGGATGCTTTCTCTGTCTGGCAGTCTTCCTTCTCTGACTATCACAAATACACCTTCTGGCATATTAGAAGGGAGGAAAGGAAAAAAGAAGGAATGGGAAGGGAGGAGGAAGAGGAAAGAAAAATTATTCTTTCAGTAAATAAAGCAGCAAGTTTCATTCAGTAGTTTCTTTTTTGTTTTAGGTTTTTAACACAAGACACAATGAGCTCACTAAAGAGAGAGACAGTGAGAGGGAAAGTGAGAAATCACTCTTCCCGGGGGGATGGCCACACCACAGTCACTTTCCCTCTGTTCTCCTCCAGGGTTTGTGGGCATGTACACACATGTGCCTGGCATGGTTTTCAAGCCACTAGGTACAGGCCTTGAACCGTGGTCGGCCATGTGGGAGTCCAGCACCAGCTAGCCTCTTCAGTAGTTTCTTAGAACATCTCTCAACACAGGCCAAACCGCTTATCTCCAAAGTACAGCTCAGTGAAAGACATTCTCAGTATCAGAAAAATAGATTATATGGTAAGTTAAGAAAAAGGGTGACTGCATACTGATGGTGGGCACTTGTCTTTGCCCTATACTATAGTCAGTGAGACTGTAACAGCATCCCAGTAAAATAGGAGCAATGAAAAGAAATGTTTAAGTGTCTTTTATGAGAGAAAGATCACCAACAGGGTGTTGCCATTAATGCACTCTCCCCCTAGACTTATA